GCTGCCAGGGACCAACATCTACCGACAGGGACATGTGTCCATCCCTGACACTTGAAGACACTGTCTCATCCCAGCCGGGGCCCAACACCAGCCAGCCTGGCACTCCACCATCTCATGTTCTTTCAAACCCCATCAGTTCCTGCTCTAGACTGCACCCTCAGGCCATACCGTGGAAAGAGCCCAGCTTTGGAATCAGACAGCCCTAGGTATGAATCCCGGCTTCACTAATTACAGCCTCCTAGTTAGATAGCCTTGGGCAAAAGACGTGAGTTCCAGGGGCCTCAGTTTCCTCATGTGAAAACAGGATACAGGAATGCCTAGCTTATGCAGGGACCGTGTGAATTAGGAATCATGCATGTCAGGCACCCACTCCCTGGTTTGCTTTCTGAGGGGCTGCTATGCTCACCACCACTGTTCTCTCTCACAAGTCTCACCACAGCAGTCACTGGCGGCCGAACACTTTCACTGCAACCCAGTGGCTGCTTAGGAGCCTTCCTGGTTGATGAAGTGTCTCAGGATGTCTCTCCATGGGGCAAAAAGAAACGTTCCCTTTTCCAGATCATGCTTCCCCTATTACCTGAAGGAAGCCCTCCTAGCTCAGAAACAGCAGCAGGTACTTGGAGCTGAACGAACGAAGCACGCAGTGAGTGAAATGAACACACGCAGTGAGAACGACTCAGGCGTGCACATATCCTCTGAGAGGACACCTGGGCCCCACAACACTTTCTGAGGTAACTGCTGGGCGTCCAGCTCAGAAACGGGCCCCATAGGATGATGGCTTGCTGCCATAAAGGAGGAGGCCATGAAGAGAAGGGCACAAGGCTCTAGATCATCATCAAGCACCCAAGTGGGACCTTCCGCCACTCCTTCAACTCAGGGCCATCTTTCAACACTAAGGCCAGGATAGCTCCTGGACAGGACGCGGGTGAACAAGCCCTGCCTGCTGGGGACTGCCAAGCATAGCCCATACCCTTTGCATGGACAGTCAGTCAACAGTCGCCCATCAGGGGCTCGTCGGTCAGGCACACAGCCTGCACACATGTGCTGTCCAGGCATTTGCACTGAGGGAAACAGACAGCCTCCTTGACCCCGTCCCATTCTCTGTCCCCTAACCAAGCCCGGGGTCGGGGAGAGCGGGGCTGACCCAATCCCTTCCCTGCAGGAGCTCTCCCTATGTTGCCCTTTCAGATTTACAAATGTCTTCTCTTAGCCCACAGGAAATCGTGCAAAGTTCCTTGAACACCCCTCCATCTGTCTGAGCTTTGTTTGCCAAGTTACCCCAAGAAGTCTAGCTTCTTTTTCTGGTTTCACTCTGATTTGATTCCCAGAAAAGGTCATATCCCTCTCCCCATCTCCAAAAGCAGCAGCATGTCTCCATGGTGCTGGCCGCCCTGCTGGTCCTAACCCAGCATCCTGGAGGAGCTCCCAGTCCACAGAAAGAACCAGCTCTGGGGGTCCTGTTTCTTCTCCACCAGCCTTATTCTTCCCCTGATGATCCATGCCTGGGCTCTGGGCTCTCCACTCTGAGCTGTTGATACAGTTGGCCCTTTGCACTCTTGGTGATTCAACCAACCACAGATAGAAAATATTTGAAAAAAAAATTAATAAAAATAATATGACAATAAAATCTTACAAGTCAATGAAAACAATACATCATAAGAACTATTTTTATAGCACTTACACCGTATTAGGTAGTATAAGTAACCTGGAGATGATTTAAGGTACACAAGAGGATGTGCAAAGGTTATATGAAAACACTATGCATTTTATGTAAGGGCCTTGAGCACCCAAGGATTTTGGTATCCAAGGGGTTGGGGAGTCCTGGAACCAATCACCTGTGAATACCAAGGGACAACTGTATTTAGATTGGAAAGGATAAAAAAAGTCACCTGTGCAAATAACCTTTAAAAACTAGACTGTGGTCAGGAAGCAAAGATATCACTGGGACCATCTAATGGGGACAAAATTAAACTGTAATATGTAATACAAGCAGTTTCTTTATAAGGGCCAACATCAGAGTCTTGTTTGCTTATAAACTGATTTCTTCTAGCTGTGGACTTACTTTATTCTGATCCTGGGCCTATGAACGTGTGTCCAATAGAACGGATAAATGCAATGTAGCACTAGTCATAGAAATTGTCCCTGTTTCAGGGAAAGATCAAGTCCCAGGCAGTGGCGACAGCCCTTTTACTGTCACCTCACAGCACAACACAGAGGAAGCTCCATGTTATGATACTGATGTGGTGAGAGGAACAAGAAAGCAAATCAACTGACTTGGAGTGACTGCTCTACACAGCCAACCTTCAAACTCCCATGATGCTGGCCCTAGGAATAACTTCTAGGAAGTTCAGTCTCTCTTGTGTTCTTAAGAAATATAGTAAATACACAGGCAAATCTGTAGGTTTTCAGTTTTGGAATATCTGCTGTCTGGCTTCCGGCTCAAGGCATTGTCAGTAGAGAAAGTAATAGGCTGCTTGGGAGGAGATGACTGATGATACCAGACAGACACCAGCCGGGGAAGCAGGAGGAGGCAGGAGGCAGAAGACGGTGATCCACAGGCATGGGCAAGCCTTCAGGGCAGAACTGGAGCTGGAATCGAAGAATGGATAGGCTTTGGAGGGAAACGTGAGGAAGGAGAGCATTTCAGGCAGGGTAAGGCAGAGGTGAAAACAACTAGGAGAATGGGGCCCATAAACAGGTTTTCCTGGTGAAGCAGAGGATTTGTGGCCAGGAATGGACACAGCCAGACAGCAGATTGTAGACAGGCTTGATTTGGCCTGTATCTCCAGACAAGCAACTCACTGAGGGTTTGTGAGCAAGGCAATAGCTCGATGGAAGAGATGCTTGGGGGACACTGGGAGATACTGGTTCCGTTGGTGGCCTTGCAGATGTTCTAGCTCTCCAGAGTCCTAGGAGGATGCTCTGCCCAGAAGAGTATATGCTCCTTGAAATAAACAAGAGCAAACATTTGCATGGCACATGGCATGCATTAAGCACTGTTTTCTGAACTTGACACACTTTAACAAAATGTTTTCAGACACAGTCTCACTCTCTCACCCAGGCTGGAGTGCAGTGATGTGATCATAGCTCACTGCAGCCTCAAACTCCCGGGCCCAGGCAATCCTCCCGCCTTAGCCTCTCAAGTAGCTGGGACTACAGGCATGCACCACCATGCTCTGCTAATTTTTTTTTTTTTTTTTGTAGAGACGGGGTTCACTATGTTTCCCAGACTGGTGTCGAACTCCTGGGCTCAAGCAATCCTCCTACCTCGGCCTCCCTAAGTGCTGGCTTTATAGGAGTGAGCCACCATGCCTGGCCTTGACACAATTTCAATTGTTTAATCTTCATACCGATTCCCCACCATAGACACTATTTTCATCCCCAGCTTATAGATTAGGGTATTGATGAACTAAAATGTTATATAACTTATACCCAGCTAGTAAGTGGCAACACCAGGACTTGAACTCAGTCAGTCTGAGCTGAAATGGAAAGAATGAACAGGCTTTACAGGTACTCAGAATACCTAACTCATCAAGCTACGCTGCCTCAGGGGGAAGATTCTCTCTGAGTACTTTTCCCAAGGCTCAGGGCAGCCTCCACTTTCTGTTTTATGTCAAAAGGGCAAATACCCACTCTGGGACTGCACCTTGGACTTAAACCTACAGAAATATTTTCCATTTAGAATGAAACTGGGAAGCAGAAACACGGGAGTGGAAGAGCATCTGCATTTCACCCAAATTGGCCCTGGAAGCCATGAACTGGATCCCGCACCCCGCCCCTCACAGGCCCTTCCAACCCGGCCTGAGCAGTGACAGGCGGCTACCCAATACAGGCTGGAGGTGACAGAGCCTATTGGCCCCAGGACCCTGCGGGACTCAGAAGAGGAGGAGACAGCTGGATGAGAAAGAACAGTGCCTGCCATTACCCCAAACAGATCCGCGCTGTCCTAGAGAGCAAGCCACAGGCCACCAGCCCTCGGCAAAGGGAGTGTCTAGACACCCTTCACCTCTCCTTTCACGCTCACTTCACCCACACCCCCCACTACCACCCAGCCCCTCCAGCCTGGCCAGGGTGGGGAATAGCCGTCTGTGCCAGCACTTGCTAATGATTTCATGTGCTCTCCCCTCAGGGGGAGTAAGTCTTCACCCAAAAGTAGAAATGGAATAGTGGCAACACTGACACTGTGGCATCAGGATGGAGGTGACATTTAGGACCATGAGCCCTACACTTAAGACACTGCATGGCCAAGCTTAACCTGGAAAGGGAATCCAATGACTTTCCACGCCTGCTTCCACCATCCTGGCCTCCTGGGTTCCTGTCTGGCTGGTGGCATGGCTGTGGGCTCTCACCATAAAGGGGTCCACCATCATGTCTGGTGTGCTGTGGCCCTCACTCAAGGAGACTACCCATTTTCTCTCACTGGAGAACTCAGGCCACTCAGCAAGATGATCACCTTGACCGATTCAAAAGCCTCAAAACATTGACTTGAGGGGTCACTGAGTACGGCACTCTGGAAAGTGTAAGGCACTCCACGTGCGGAGGGGTTGAAGTGATCAAGACAACTGTTCATAAAAGAATCAGGCCCTGCCCTCAAAAAGCTGATATTTCACAGAGAAGGAGGGTGTATGGGAAACATTTCAGAATTTCATTACAGCTGGCTCAAGGTAGTTTGCAAGGTAAACACACTAGTCTTGATGACGGAATAATTTGAGAGTTGGTAAGAGCTTTTGAAGCTCACCTTCTCAGGACGAGCCTTCTCGAGTTGGCTAAACAAGGCAAATATTACAAATGACCTCTGGCTCCCTGCTGGCTCCCCTAGACCCCTTCCACCCTCTGTTCCCTGACCCGTGCCCTGGAAGCCTGGCGCCTGGGGACTGCTCGAGGTGCCCGGCTCCCTGGCCCTCCAGCTTCAGATTGGTTTCGCCAATGAGCAGTGTCAATAGGAAACTGGACACGGGAGGGCAGGGAAGGCAGAGTATTTTCTTGCCATGTCCCCCTACCTTGGTGCCTTGGTCCTGGCAGTGACAACATCCTTCCATGACTATGGTTTCACCCTCATGGTCCTCCTCCCTGCTCCAGCTGCCACCAGGCCCCCAAACAGTATTTTCTCCCCTTCCTCCTCAGGCCTTAAGGCGGTAACAGCTCCCCTCTACGTTTAGCCCTGAGTGCCTCGATATCCGTTGCTGGTCTCCTTACCCCTCTGTGAATATGCCCCTCAGAAAACTCTGTTCCGTTGAACCATCTGTGTAGAATTCTGTTCCCTATTATGATGCCAACTGAACACTGGGTACCCATTCTTTGTCCACAGTCAAGGACAGTTTATACAGAAAACACAAAGCTTCCACGGTTAGAAGCTGGTTCCTGGCTTCCCTGAGTGGCTGTACCCAAACCTGTCCTAAATAGACAATCACCATTCTCGTTTTTCAAATTACCCACAAAGACTGTACCTCTGTGTTGTCTAGAGGGCTGTGTGTGATTTTGAATCCAGAACCCAGGGGCTCAGAATTCTTCCACCCTAAACCTTCCTTCATCAGGAACTTCACTGTCACTCCCATCACTAGAGAAGAGACAGCCTTTCAAAGTTCATTGAGCCCATCTCCTTAAGCACATACTCAGATAGCAGAATTTAGGCACGTTTAACCTAGCTGATTTCTTTCAGTCAGTCTATAAATCAAGAACTAATTCCCATTACTCCCTCCTGGCTCTAGAATTAGCATTCCCTCCTGGACTCCTTGGAATGTCTTTTGCATATTGAAGTCATTTTCCTCATTGCTCACCCTTCCCTGAGTAGAGGCGGAGGCATTTTGTTAACTGTCAGTGTTTTGACAAAGCATGAGTATTTAATCATATGCCCGTGACTCCCTGTACCCCACATGGCACACAGGCTTGCTGGTACCTGCTGACAGGGCAGGACAGTGGGCAGAGAGCCGGCAAGCTCCCAAGACATCCGACCCTGGTCAGGGGGTGGGGACAAAGCCAAGGAGGCAGGACTCCCTTTTACAAGACGCTCAGAGTCCGCCCAAGGCCAAGTCTGTCTTCTCTTCCACTTCAGGGAGGGGATGCTCAGCCCCGAATGAACAGCACCAAGATTAACTGGGACAGAAAGGACCATCTCGTTCTATCCCTTGTCTCTTCCAGTACTAAATCATCTTTGGCAGATGGTGTTTCTAGCCACAGTCTCCCTGGGAACCTCCCCCAGTGCCTAGCAACCTTCAGCATTGGGGAGTCCTTCCCGTGGTTTGGTCTAAATGCCCACGATGCTCCCAGGCTCAGGTGTCCACACTCCTCTGTCCATTAGGGGCCCTCAGAGGCACCCTCCCCCCAGGACACCACAGGTCCAACTGTTCCCTCGCTGGGAGCCCTTGGCCATCCCACCATGGGGCGAATGTGACCTCCCACTCCAGCCAACACTCCCCACACCCCCAGACTGCCCAGGAGCATTTGCTTTTCAAAACTTCCCTTTCTTAAAAAAGAAACAATTTTCCAAAGCCCAGGGAGTTAATCCATGAAATCTTCTGGAACAAAAGCAGCGGGCCCAGTCCTTGGATAAGTCGATCAACAAACATGCCAGAGCCCCGTGTGGTTCAAAATGTTCTTTGTTCCAGCCGCCGAGCCTGGATCTCGCTGGGTCCTGCCGGTGAGTTGGCTTCTCAAAGTCACATCCCTCTGGCTGTCCGCCCCACCCCTGCCATACCTCGGAAAGCTAAACCCTCTTCAGAGGGACCACATCATCACTTTCCCCTCAGTCTCTCCCTCTTTCAGAAACCACCTGATTGAAAATGTTTGGAGCCAGTCAAGGTTTGCTGACAATGGAAACAAACTGGTCCCTGGCACAAGGCACAGGCTGCTCGGTGTAAGTGGAGGCCCCATATGGTTGTTATTCTGGGAGAGAATCAAAGAACCTAAAAACCTGCTTCTTAGATGACAACAGGGGGAAAAAACACACAAAAAAAACCTGTTTTTTAAATACCCATTCTTCATTTGACGTGCAATCGATCCTGAACAGTGTCAGATGTTTGGCGGGTGCTCCGAGACCAAAAGAACAGTGGAAAAAAGGACTGGTGAGGCCGGCCAGCAAGATTTCCCAAGTATCACCAGGGGGAATACCCCTCCCAGATGTGCCACACGGAAGGAATTCCAGCAGGCTCCCTCCTCGCTGCCCTCCGCAGACACATTCCAACCCCCCTGCTCAGAGAGGGTGGGAGGCTGAGTGCGGCTGCCTGGCAAGGCTGAGGATCCTACTCTGGGATGAGAGAACTCTGGAAATTCATTTGCCCTTCTTCTTATTCAGTTCTTCCACCTGAACTCTCTCCGGCTGGAGCTGAGCTTCGGGTTCTTTCTCCTTGTCAGCCTCATTTTCTCATCTGTAAAATGAGCATTGCTGCGGGCCGTGATGAGAGGGAGGATTCCATGTATCCTCACTGGGGCAGACCGTGAATCCGGTAGGTGCCCAGCTGTTTCCTCCCCGCCCGGTCCTGCCCACATCCTTTTTCCAAGCTTCCAAGGAGGCTCTAACAAGTACTGCACAACAAGACTTAATTCCCTAGTTCCTAGTTGAGTGATCTAGGGCACAGCACTTAACCTCTCCTGACCTCATTTCACTCATTTTTAAATGGGGATAATAATTATATATTATGAACCCAAAGCTCAGCTCCAGCCTAAGAGAATTCAGGTGAAGGAACTGAATAATAAGCAGGGTAAATGAACTTCCCGGTTCTCCTTGCCAGGCAGCTGCACTCCCTTGACTGCATAAACATTTCTTAAGCACCCACCGTGGGCCAGGCATGTGCTGGGCTTTGGAAATACAGCACTGGGCAAAGCCCCCAGAACCCCTGCTCTCACGGAGACACTACACAAACCATCCAAAGTCCATGTGAAGTAATGTGTGATTACAAATCCGGCTACTTTTAGGGAGGTTTTAAAAAGAAAAGGAACGAAGGCCCTGGCTCAAAATAAACATTTAATAAATAATAGATACTCCTGTTATCATTATGAGTAACCAGTCAGTGTAGCTTCATTTTCCCTTGGTTTACAGAAGAGCAAAGAAAAGCTCAGAACAGGTAAGTACATTTCCTCCCCAGGCAGCACAGCCTGAAGAGAAACACTGGAATTCACACCCAGGCTTGGCCTGCCCAGCTCCAGAGCCCTTACTCCTTCCTCTGTGTCCCGTGGCCTCTGTGTTTAACAGGTAGGCTCCCTTGCAGCGTTCCTGAGAATTTCACATTCTCTCACTTGATCCTTACAACATTCCTTAAAGTGGGAAGACTTATTGTTATCCTATTTCTGCTTCTAGGGAAACTAAGTCTGAGGTCACTCACTTACCAGACCAGAGCCAGGTCTATTTTCACTACAAGACCAAATCAGTTCCTGCTTCTCTTGGAACCCAACGCACCTTCCCAGCTCCCAGGTCTACAAGGGAGCAGGGGTGCAAGCACATCATGCCAGCCCTGGCAGCGACAACCTTGAAAGTCCCATGTTCCATCTAACAGGTGTGCCTAGAGCACGAGAGGGTCACTGCAGAAGGAGCATGACAGCGGGTGTTGGAGGTTGGAGCATGCCCAAGGCCCTGCAATCCCCCCAGATCAATATGCTCAGCTTAATTATTTCCAGGACCTGGCCAGCGGCTGGTGCATCCCACTAGGAGCGCCATGCAAAATAACAAGGCCACATGCCCCCGATGCTGCCCGCCCATTCTCAAATGCCATTTGGCACGTTCTCAAATGCCAGCAGGCTCAAAGGCATTGTTCTGGAGGTGGAGGAAGGGAAAAAGTGAGGCAGCTTTGGGGAAAAACAGGGGCTTTGGGGCAGGAGAATGTGTTTTTGCCCAGTGATGTGCACATGGCAATCCACATGCCTGCTCGTCCTGCCTTGGTATCCTGAGTTTCAGAGCTCTTTGATAGCAGAATAGGAGAATTGCTACTCCGTGTCCACGGAGCCCAAGGATGAGGCATTTATCTCATCAGATTGTTAAGATACAGTGTGGGTGTCTGGATGTCATTACTGCACGGAGAGCAGTGTGCAGTGGAGGGGGGCAGAGATGCTGAGATAAATAACACAGGATCCTTTAAAAATACACTGGGAACCAGGAGGCTACAGAGAACTGCAGGAGGTCTGAGCCAGAAGGGGCTCCAGAGATTGCTGGGCCACCCGGTTCTCCCTTTCTGTGGGAGACTGAGGCCCAAAGGGAGCAGGAGCACTCAGGCTGACAGAGAGGAAGGGGTGGAGCACACTGGAGCCCTGGCGTCTTCCTCCTCGCTGCCAGGCACATTCCATTGTACCACGGGTTTATGCTCTGGCATCCCCAGCAGAGAAAAGATGATGGCAGAGAAACGACTCCATGGCGTCACCCTGCATTTGCAGGGAAGATGGTCTCCTGGGGGATGCTATTCAGCAACCACAGAATAAAGAGGTTGGATTATCTGTAATGAAGGGACAGGGGTGTGGGAGGAGAATGACATAGGGTACAGAAGTCCTTGATCCAGCCCCCTACTCTACAGTAAGGTGGAAGTAGAGGAAGACACAAGCCCAGATAGAGAGGGCATCTGCCCCTTTAGCCTTGGGATGAAGCCTCAAACGCCTCTGGCTTTAGAGACCCAGGCCTAAGTTTTGTCCCTGGAACAGGAGTGGAACAAATGCCCCCGTGGGCTGCTTCCAGCTCTGTAATTCACAACTACATTTGAGGGGCAGAGGGTCGGGAGTGCTTCACCTAGACAGCCAGACATTTGCGGTAACTAACCGCTCCCTCCCAAAGCCTGTGCAGAAGGTCAGCATCACTCTATCCACCCCCAGCAGGCCAAGGGCCTCCCCCAGGCCAGCAAAGATGCTGATCTTCAAACTCACTGTCCTGGAATCCCTGGTATTGTTGCTTAATTCATCAGGTCACTTGAGGGTAGGAATGACCTCAGCTCATCGGGCAGGCGTCCTAGAGCTGATATTTAAGGAGAAATCCAGAGGCTTAAGAAGTAGTCAAGAAAAAGGCAGCTCAGACTATGGGAAGGACAGAAGGGTTTGCAGAGAGTGAAAGGAGCCAACGTGGGATAGGGCAAGCAAACAGCTCTGGGATGGGGTGGAGGAGAAGAACGTGGGATGGAGCTACCTCTCTGCCCCACCAAGGACATGGGGAAGAGCAAAGCCAAAGGAGGACCATCAGTTTTAAGCAAAATA